CCTGCACACCCTGCCAATGGTGCTGCATCTCCAAACCTGCCAAGAGGTGTGAAAAGCCCCAGACAAAACCCAGACAGGGCCAGGTGTGGCAGCAGGCACAGAGATGCTCATCTCTCACAGCAGCTCTGTGGTGGCAGGGCATCCCAGCCTCAGGACGTTGGAGTGTGAGCACCAACCCATCAGCCCTGACCCCACAGGGAGACACACAAACCTTCCAATCCCCTCAAATCTCCTCCACCATGACATTTTCGGCACCTGAATATCCCACCCTCAATTTTTCAAGCCAAATCCCACAAGGCTTGGTCTGCACCGGAGCCTTCCACAGGGGTCACAGTGGGGTGACAGAAGGTGACATTGCACCTTCCCTGAGTTGCTCCAAGCAGGGTAAAGGGTAGACAGAGGGAAAAACCATCACCCAGGGCCAAACCAAGGGACTCAGGGAGGCTTTGCTATCAGAGGAGAAAAGGTAAACAGAAATAATGCCAGAGAAGCAAGTCCTGCCCTGACCCGCTGCACAAGGACAGCAGTGGGACAGGGAGGGGAAATCAGGGAGCTGCTACAGATCTGTCCAGCAGGATGGGGGCGAGCTCCTGGGACCCATCAGTCCTATTTTTATGGCTGGTTTTGGCAAGGACAGTAAAAACATGTTCTCTTCTGTTGAAAGCCACCCTGGGCTTTGGCTGAGATGGGGTGAGCTGAACCGTGCCTCGTTACCAGAGCTAGGGGCAACTACAGCAGCTGCTTTTGAGGGGAAAAAATGGGCAAATTTAAGGAGGGTAGATTTAAGTTTTAAGTGCAGCAACTGCATCGCCCCCATCACCAACAGCCCGCACCTATCCTCGCCTGCAGCCGGGGCCAGGGCGAGCGTCGGCGCCTTTATAAAAGGTGCTGGTTGCATCACCAGTGTGGAGCCCGCAGCCCCGGGCACATTCTGTCCCCTCCCACCAGGGCTGCAAGAGCCGAGCGAGCGTGTCCGTCTGTCCGGGGTCCGGGGGCCATGGCCGGGATCGCGGTCACCCTCGGGCTGGCGGTGCTGCTGCCCACGGCCGCCTTCCCCTGCGGATCCCTGCGCCCCGACAACGCCACGGCCTCCAAGGTAGGAGAGACACGAGCCCTGGGGGGCTGCCCCGCTCCTACAAATAATTTGTGGGTGCTCTGCCAAGCCTCCCTGTCCCCTGGGAAAAGGGAGAAACCCCACCTTGTCCCCTCCCGGCACATCTGCCAAGGTGCCCTCAGTGAAACACCTGCAACAAACGTGAAACGTTTGCTTTCCAAAACACCCCGAATTGCCCGTTTTTCTCGTGGTACCCCAGCAAGTCCCAATAGCAACCTCTAAAAAAAGAGGGGTAGCTGGGTATTTTTTGGGCTGCCCTGACCCTGCTGCACCACCCAGAGCACCCACAGCCGGCGCCAGCACCTTTCCCAATCCCCGCACGCAGCTTGGTTTTTTACCCCGGTGCGTTTGCAAAGGTTTGATCCGGTTGCTGCCAATGTAGTGCAAGGGAGAAACTCGCAGAGATACCAATTCTGCCATGGGGAGGGTGGGAATCTCTTCCCCACGGCTCCCCCCTGCAAACCCAGCAGCCCTCACCGCCCTGCCCCTCTCTCCCCACAGCTGCTGGGGACGTGGCTGTACGTGGCCGGGGCTGCCCACTTCCCCAAGAACCTCCTGGTGCTGCTGTTCATCGACCACGGGTACCTGCAGGTGGAGCCCCTCACGGATGGGCGGGAGCTGCTCATCACCCAGCACGTGGCCGTGTAAGATGCAGCCCCCAAACCCGTCCCCTCCCACCTGCTGCAGCCCCACAGCCTTTCAGTACAAAACACGAGCGCGATTTCAGATAGTTGTTTTAGAGAAATCATTCTCCTGGCTGCTCTGTGCATCCTCTCCCATCTCTT